ATTCAATTTATAGACAAAAGGGAACTGGGAATTCATAGGTGACATCCACCACAGGTGACAAAGCAACAATCCATCCCAAAGGGAAAACCTCACTTTGCAGGCAAAAATGATGTTCCATTCCGAGGTGAAAAAAGATCCATTTACGAATTTATGAGCAAAAGGGAGTGGCTGAGGCTTATCGTGTTTTTAAAGATCTTAGGAAGTTTGGAACTGGGTTCTCATCCTGAAGCTGCAGTTGGTGTTAAAAGTACAATTTCAAAATTCCTTTCCCTTGTCTCCTTTTTGCCCATCTTTATCTGTCCTATCCTACCTCACCCTGGCTTTGAATATCACCCTTGTGCTGGTGACCTTCACTGTCCATCTCAGCCACGCCTCTCTCTTCCCTTGCAGACTTCCCAGATTCTCTGAGATCTAGAGTCCTGCTCTGTCCACACTATTTCTACCTTCTTGGAACATGTGCCCTTGCTCTACAGTGGACATCTGGGCTGAGACATTGCTCTCTGGTCAGATACTCCTGTGCTGCCATTTAGCTATCATTAGCTAATAATAGTCATCATAAGAATGAAAGGTATTATTTTGAGTACTTACTATGTGCCAGAAGCCAAAAAAATGCTTTTAATTGCCTGTGCTGTTGAATGCCACATGACATGGAAGCATTACACTCCCTGTCTTCACGTGGATGACACGGTGGGGTGGTCATCTAACTCACAGCTATTGTGAGTCTGAGTTTTCAATTCTGCCTTGTCTGCAGGGTGGCACAAGGCCCTGAGCACTCCCACCTGCTGCCTCTGCTTGCAATGCCACTCTCTCTGCCTGAAGCCTGACTGGCCCCTGTCTGCCCTGTCACCCACCTCAGCAACACACAGACTTTCTGACCAGCAGCTCTGATTGTATCACTCAACAACACACACAGCACCACACATGAGGAGTGATGTGCTGAGGGTAGTTGTTCAATTTGATAACTCACAACAGAGGAAGTGATTGTTCCCTGCTATTCTGTTCAATCGGTAGCTCGGCTTAGTTATGGAAATATGACTGCTACATTGAGGTTGTTTGTTTGTTTGTTTCCATCCAGCTTTAATATCAGGTTAAAGAGTAACATGTCCAAGGTACAAATAGCCGGCAAGTAGGAAGTGAGCTCCCCATGCGCACCCACACATACATATGGGACACATGACTGGATAATGAACGTGAATGTTCACTTCTAATGGAACAGTAGATTGTAAAGTGCAGAATGTGGTGAACTTTCTCCAGGCAGTAACTAGAAATTCTAGTTACTGCCTTCCTTATTTTTGTTCTGCCACCCTGGTCACCTGCAAAGGTCCTGTGAACAACTGTGGTGGACTGGCAACTGGTGAGCAGCTTGTAACACCCAGCTGAATGGAGGCAGCGTGGTGCTGGTGAGGAGGGCCCACCTGAGGACTGTTGCCAACATGAAAGGAGACCTGCAGAGGAAGAAGCAGTGTTGTTGTTGTTGTTTGGTGCTGTTGGCTCTCCCGTTGCCGTGGGCTCTCCTGGAGGAGTCTGTCGAGCTTCTTTCCTGATGTAAGAACTCAGGTGTTCTCATTGTCAAAGGACTCAGGATCTTGTGGTCGCTGAGAATGGCTGCGGTTCACTTTGGGGAGCTCTGTCCTTACTTTGAGCCTCGCTTCCCGGCTCCGGAGGGGAAGGTGTGTGCTGCTCAATCTCCAGGAGAAGCTCTTCACACTGCCTTCCTGCTATGAACTTGGCTGTTATTGTTGGAGGTACTTGGAACCTCATTGTCACTGAGGATGGCTTTGGTGGGGGTGAGGTACTTTGGTGGGGGTGAAGCTCTGGTCCTTACTTTGAGCGTTGCTTCATGGCTCCAGTGCAGACCCCTCAGCCTGCTGGCACAGATCCTTCACCCCGCTGGCACAGACTTTCTAGCTTCCAGTGCTGACCTTTGGGCCTTCCCAGGGCAGATCCGTGAAACACACTTGCATGAGACATTACCATGGGTTCTAGGTTCCCATTTGGACCCATTGAGGACATTGCCATGGGCTCCAGGTCTCCAGCTGGACTCATGCAGGATGTTGCCATGGGATCTGGGCCCTCAGCTGGATTTTTTTTAGATGTATTCAGTATGGACAGATTTCCTGCACTTTTCATGTTTGACTCTTTGGGTGACTGCTACAAAATAGTGCTGTAAATTATGTGTCCTCTATTAAGTCATTTTCCTTGCAAGCCCTGCCTACAGCCGCAGCCCTCTTCTCCTTGGCCTCCTCCCACATGTCCTAGAATATGGCACTGGTCCTGTCAATTCGATGTCCCAGAGACTCTCTCCTGGAGTTCTTCCAGTCTCTCCTGCTCCACTGTGTGGCTCTGGAAACACAGTTCTGACGTGCAATGTCCCTGGCCAATGCTCTTCCAAAGCATCCCTGTGGCCCACAAGATGGTATGTGGCCTCACGTTCCAGCTCCATCTCCAACAGTGCTCTTCCGGCAATTCCCTCCTTGACCTTCCATGTCTGTTTTCAATATTGTGGGAGTGCCCATCTCTGAGCTTCTGCCCCCTGCAAGCCTCTCCTCTTACCCCCAGGAGCCCAGGTCCAGGGGAAGTGTCTTCCCAGAAGCTCTGTGGCCCTCCTGACTTGTTGTACCTTGTATTAGTGGTTCCCAAGACAAGTTCCCTCTCCTTAAAAAACACAGCGCCAAGACCATCTAAGTCTGGACTGCACGGCCCTCCATCCCTGAACACAAAGCCCGGTACAGATGAATGTGCAGCAAACGCTGGGAGAACTATGAAACAGGAATAATATTCGGCAGCTCCTTGAGTGTGCAGCGACCCTACAGATGAGATTTACAAGGAAGACTGCAAAATGCGATTAATCTCAACCTGCGGGGGAGGGGAAGGTGCCCGGGATGCTCTGATGAGGGAGCTGTAGGCACCAGCCTGTTTTGGCTGCCTGGGATTGAGTCTGTCATTCAGGGAATGTAATCAGAGCCCATTGGTTCTTGGGCACTAGCCTTGACCCTGGGGAATATGAGCAAATCGGATGAGCCTCTGTCTCCTAGAGCTCTAATGACAGTGGTGGGTGTGTGTGTGTGCACGCGCACATACACACATTGTAGACACTTGGCATCTAAGCCTGGCCACATTGCACACCATTACCCCTTCCGCAGCAGTGTGGTGCAAGCCAGTGGCGGGTGGCTAGATGGGCAGCCTTCTGTTTCTGGTGGGCAGTAGGTGCAGGAAGGCCCTGTGCTTCCTACGCCCTGCTCTATGCCATGACTCCCTGGAGTGAGACAGACATGTGACAGCATTTTCAGGGCTCAGGAAAATGAAAAAACACAGGGGCTCCTTGTTCCACAAATATTAATAAATGGGAGACGGGCAGGGCAAGTGAGGGAGACTAGAGGAAGGTGTTAAAAAAGAATTCAGATGTGTTATGTACACGTATGGACTCCCCGAGAGGGAAATAATAATTGTGTACTATGGACAGGTACCAATAAAATAAATCATTAAAACTAAACATTTAGAGAGGCTGTCAAATTTGGTTAACTTGTAGGTGATGACTGAGAAAAACATAATGAAAAATTCAAGAGGGGGCTACCCACTCAGGACCCCTCCTGGAAATGCAGGAGTTCTTCTTCTGTTATTTCCAGTAAAACTCCTCTAAAGCACCAAAAAGAAAGAAAGAAATTCGAGAGGGCAACAGCCTACACAAGTCTGCCATCACTTCCTCTCTCCTGCACCACACTCTGTGGGGAGGCCCAGGCCCTGGTGGGCCCAGGAGAACCAAGACCCATGTGGCCGCACACAAGACAGTAACAAATGCTTGCTGGGTGCCCAGGATTTCTGCGAGTTTGAAGGATGCACTGGAAAAAGACAGCTGTCTTCCACGCATGTGCCCGTGTGCCCACGTTCACCTGGGCCAGGGGCACCGAGCTGCATGGAGGAGACTCACTGTAATGGAGCTCACGAAGTCCCCGAGAAAATCAGCAGTCAGAGAGCAGTGCTGAGAAGATGACAAAGCAGAGTGAAGCCAGCCAGCGCCAGTGGGGAGGGTGTGGAGAGCACGTATTAGATCAGTGGCCAGCAAAGCCTCCCCAAGTGCGTCATAGGGGCCGATATACACAGCTATTTCTCCAGCAACAGGTAGGGAGGCCGCAGGTGCGGCCAGCAAATCTCCGCAGCGCCTTCCCCTCTGGCTTGAGCCAGGAGGTCCAGGCCAGGAAGACCAGATCCAAGGGTGCTGGAGACTCTGGACAGGTCCCCGCGGGAGGACAGCACTGGCCCTCCTGACTTACTCTGACTCTGGGCCTCCTGGGTTCTGGAGTCACCTACAGCCTTAATTTTTTTTCAAGAAAGATGCCCCTGCCCCAGACTTGTAGCCTCCAGCCCAGAGGTTCCCTCTGACGCCCGGGCCCCTGAGCTGAAGCTGATGAACCCTCTACATGGGCAGAGGCTCTTCTGTTGGGGGCCCTCACTCTCTCCTAAATACACTTGGGAAATGGGTCCGTGGACTAGCTCCAGGCAGCACTTCCTGCAGAGACTCCAGGATCTCTCCTTCAGCCCTGGTGCCAAGGAGGTGTTGGGCTGCCCAGCTTCCAGTAGGGCTGTGGGGTGAGAGCAGGGATCAAGGAGGAGAAGTGGGGTGCAACAGGTGGTAGGGAAGGATCCTGGGGCGGGCGGAGAGCACGGTGCGCCCGCCGCCTGCCCGCCCGTTGGCTGCTGGGGGTCGCAGTGGAGGCCCAGTCCCCGCAGCCCCCGCCACCAGCTCGGCCCTGGCCGCCCTCTCTCCACCGCAGCGCCGGCCGCCTCTCCCCGCTCTGGCCCCTCCTCCGCCCCCCGGCCCCCGCCCCCGGCTGTCTGGCTGCGCCGCAGTGGTGGTGGCGCAGGGCGGGGGGCCTTGGAGACAGGGCTGCCTCCTCCCCCTCCCGCTTGCCGCAGCGCTCGCGTCGTCTGAGATTTCCATCGAGGCTGGGGGGGCGGACCCGGGGCGGGGCGAGGGGAGGAGCGAAAGTTGGGGCGCAGCAAAAACGGCCACCGCGCGCCGCGAGCAGCCAGACCGCGCGCCGCGACCTCCACGCGGGTGGTCGCGCCGGTCCCCTTCGCGATGTTGCCCAAAGTTCTCTTAGTCCTCCTGAACATATTTCTCATCATCCACTCGAGGTGAGTGCCCACTGCGGGACCCAGGAAGCCCCAAGCCGCCAGGACCCCCGTAGCCCCGCGCCCCTCGAGGGGCGCTCTCGCTGCGCCCCGGTCCTCCCGCGTCCCGTCGACGCGTGCCGGCCTCGACCGAGGTCTCTCTGGGTTGGGCATCTGGGACCCCTGAGGGGCAGCCCGGTAGGGAAAGCGGGAACTCTGTCCCCAGAACACTCCGTCCCCGACTCGGACCCCAAGCACTGCGGCTCAAGGGAACGCGCGCTCCTCCCTCACGAAGTCTTGTGCACCAAAAGGGGAGGCGGGCACCCCAGTTACCAGGCATGATGGGATCGCGCTCCTGGGGTCGGGGGCAGCCCGAGGGAGGTGGCCCGCGAGCAGGGGAGAGCCGAAGTGCGCAGCAAATGTTTGAGCATTGCCTGCCTAAGTGCGTGCTCTTTTGCTCACGGTTTTTTTTTTTTTATTCCCCCCCCCCCCGTGCAAGCTGCCAGGCAACTCTGACTTTCCTTGCCTCGCATCCCGCCACTGCGCTTGGTGCTGGTGCCAGGCAAAGCCTTGGTTTAATCTTAGGGTTCCCGCCTCAGTCATCCAGCACTCTCCATTGCAGTCACCCCGCCCCCCGCCTTCCTGCCCGCTGGGTCTTGGGCTGCCCTGGCTGGAGGCCTGGAATGCTTTCTTCCCTTGAGGTCTGTGGTTTGGGTCCTGGATTCCGATCCTCTTCCCTTTTTCGGTTTCTCTGTGGCAGCCAGTTTCCCTTGCACCATCTCTGGGCCTGGGACATTGCTAGAAAGGTTATTCCCGAGGTTGCTGGCTTTTTAGGATGAGAGATGACTGCTTTTTTTATTTTATTATTTTTTTTTTGAGGTGGTTTCCTGCTGGGTGCGAACTGTCACAAGTTCCTAAGTGTGGAGCTTTCTGGAAGTTTCCATGGTGCAGGGCTTGTGTCTTGCTTATCTGTTTGAAGAACAGTGCCTGGCTCCCCACAACACACACCCTAGGTGGCTTTAGCCCCTGGATGGTGAGACAGTTTGCCCCCCAACCCCAGTGATTTCCTGGTGCTTAAGAGTGGCCTTGGCAAATGTTTCTGAATGCTTCTAGGAATTTCCAGTCCTCTACATCCCCTAGGTGGGATCTGGGCTAGTTGAGTGACCTAACATGGTAACTGGTGGGGGCAAGGATGGCTGGGGGGGGGTGCAGAAGGAGGAGGGAGGCCAGGGAGGAAAACAACATGGAGGTGGACCTGCCCATCCAGCTGGGGGGTTGGGGACTGCAGCCAGTGATGCACACAGTAAGCATGGCAACCTGTGATGTCAAGAGGGAGGTGACTGGGGGGGGGTTGCTGGGCCTTATTCAACCAAGAAACCTCACCTTGGTCCAAGCTTAGCCTGCCCTTGGGGCACAGCCCTTCCCACATCTGAGTCTCAGTTTTTCCATCTATAAACTGAAAAGAAGGGCCGATTTAGGGGGGAAAAACTAAGCATATATCCAGGGCCATTTCTCAGTTCCCCCTCCTCTTCTCCAGCCAGCATGGTGGTGGGGGGGTTGGGTAGAGATTCAGCTCTACTCTGGGCGGGGGGCTAGGGACGCTGAAAAGCCCCATGGAAAATTCCACTAATCCAGTGTAGGAGTGTGTTTCAAGTGTTCCTTCTTCGTAGCTGGCTGGGGGAAGGTGCACATTATCAGGTGCCCCTTAGCCTCAAGGATGAGGTTGTCTGTCTGTTTGCTTTAACTGAGAAAAGCTCACTGTAAGAGCAAAACCTCAGAGAGCCTGATACCATACCACTGTCCTTGCAGCAGGGCTTCGGTGACCCCAGTGCAATCATGTCTGTTTGCCTCTGCAGTTCAAAACCTGGGGGTGGCGTTCTTGTTCATGGTTTATCAGACTTCTGGAAGCTTCGCTATGAGCCATGTTCCCAGCCACCATTTTGAGAGGTCTCAGGCCTCCATTTTCCCTCCCTGTCTCTGTGCCTCCCTCCCTCTCAGAGAGTGCTGGCCCTTTTCTCTTCAAAGGACTGAGGGATTAGCCTCTGGTCCAGGAGACCCCCAAAGCCTCAGGAGAGAAGACATCTGGGTATGGCTTTGCAAAGCAGAAACTGCGTTTCCCAAGCCCAGTTCTCTCCCAGCCTACAGTGGGAATTGGCCCTGACATGTCACATCTGTATGCCAGTGAAGTGACTCTAAGAGCCCGAGATATAGCAGAAAAATGTATTTTGCTGCCCAAGTTGGCAGCCCCTTGGTCCGCAGTACATAGGTCATGCTTAGGTCTCCTGCTCTGTTTACCCGATTTGGGGAAGACGTTACCTGATGGCTTTTAGAAAATGATTTTTTTTGGAAATGTAACGTACAATATGAAATCACATACGTGAACAGCTCAGTAGATTTTCACAAAGTAATCATGCTCATGTAACCAACACCTAGATCAGGAAAGAGAACATTAGAAGCCCCCCTCCCCAACACACACATGCACACACACATGCACCTAGCCAGCTGTACCTTCCCTGTATCCAAAGGAAGGAAAACACTTCTACCATTAATTTGCATTGCTGGCTTTAAAAAAAAAGCTTTCAATTACATTTTTTTCAAAGATATAAATATTTAGGCATAATATATTTGTACCACAACTATCCAGTCAGTGCTCAGAACTCTCCTGGTGGCTTATAAATGATATTTTTGGTATTTATATAATTTGATTTTGAAAAAATCAGGATCCAAATAAGATTTGTGTATTAGCACATGGAAATTTTTATTCCTTAAATGTTTTTTATCGATTTAAAACCTTTACATAGATGAGTGTTCAAATCGTAAGTGTACAGGTGAGGAACAGTCGGAAAAGGACCAAGGGGCCTAAACAAGGTAGGGTAAAGGGCCAGAATGTGACAGGCACCTCAGAAGTCCCTGGTATCCCTTCATCTTTGCCTCCCAGAGAAGCAGCACTAACCTGAGAGGGGGAGGACAGACGTTAGCAGGTGGCTCTTTTGAAATGATCAGTATTATTATTATTGTTGTTGTTGCTGTTATTGACCTGGTGCCTGGCCATGGCACTCAAGATGAATTCCTGTCGGGCATGCATTTCCCAATTTTTTTTCAGTGCTGAGACATAGATCTGCCTCTTTGGCATTCCTTCCTCCCCTCGTGCCCTCAACGCAACAAGTATTACAAGCCTCACAAAACTGCAGAATGTTTCTCCTTCCGTGGGGCCTGTCTCAGCGAGGCTGCTCTGGTGCTGAGGAGGCCCTAGGGGGGCCCAGGCCAGCGAGAGGTGCAGAGCGCCACGGCTCATACAAGAATGCCCTCTGACTTTATTTTACATTAAGCTGTCTTTGAAAATGTAGTTGTTCTGTTTATTGTTGTTGGTGTTGACTTTTTTTATTTGAATAAAGAGGAGTAGCATAGAAAGTCCCCAAAGAACAGAAGCATTTTAAAAAAATTAACCCGTGTAATCTGTTAGTGCCTCATAATTTACTATTACCAGTTTCTAATTAAGCCTTGCGTTGCAAATACGTTGATTTGTCTGTCCCCAGAGGTGCCAGCGGTGACCTCTGTGGAGTGGAGGGCAGAGCCTGACTTTTTTGTTGTTATTTCTAGGGCGCTGTTACCCCAAACTGAAGTGGAAGATGAAGCATCTGGCCACGATGACGTTGTTAATGACCCCCAGCCTCAGCCCCTGCCCCAGCCCCAGCCCCTGGCCCAGCCTCAGCCCCTGCCCCAGGCTCAGCCCCTGGGCAGGAAACTTCTCTCTGAAATAATAAATTCCGCCACTGCCCCTGTGGGTGCTGCTACCACGGCTCTCATGGTTGCTAATACCACTGCCCCTGTGATTGCAGCCACCACGGCCCTTGTGGTTGCTAACACCACTGCCCTTGTGGTTGCTAACACCACTGCCCCTGTGGTTGCTGCCACCACTGCCATCACAACTGCTCCAGGGGCTCCACGCAAAGGCAGCAAACTGCCAGAAGCCACTCGCATCCTGGACACAATCCTGAATAACTATGACCACAAGTTGCGCCCTGGCATTGGTGGTGAGTATCAGGCCCCAGTTCTAAAAGAAGAGTGGGAGGGGGGAGGGAAGGGGGAGGGTGACGGGCTCAGGTGTGGGGGAATGGGTGGGCAGTAGGAATCCAAATGTCTGCTGCTGAGCTGTCAGGAAATGCATATGAACTCCAATCCTTAGCTGTGCCACAAATGTTGGTGAAGACTTTTCCATTCCCTCACCCTGTTTTCCCAACTCTCAAACCAGATGCCTGACCTGCAAGATGTGTGTTTGGGCCTTCACAGGGCAGGCGCTGACTCTTGCCATAAAAGAGCAGACGAGGAGCTCTGATTGCCTCTCATCCCTCCTTTCTACCCGCGCACCACCCTGAGCCCCTGCTGACACTCAATCTTCTCTCTTTTTGTTTCCCTTCCAGTGAGGCCCACCGTGGTGAAGGTGGAGGTCTCCGTCAATAGCCTCGGCCCCATTTCCATCATGGACATGGTGAGTACTGACTTTTGATTATACTGTTTCCTGGCCCAGGGTGGACCTGTGGGAGCCTGTGCTTTGTAATCAGGGTTTCTCAAACAACTCTGGGGGTGGAGGTGGGGGGTGGGGAGGCTTTGGTTTGGTTTGGGAAGGGACGGGGAGATTTGAGGCTGGAAAAGGTAAGTCTCTTGCTGCCTGAAGAGGACCTTTGGAGTTTTGACTACATTGTCCAGTCCTTCCTTCAAAACAAAAATAAAGCTACGTGAAACACCATGGTGGAATGACTCTTTTCTGATAATTATTTGTGTGATCTTAAGTCTGCAGTTTCTGGTTGTTGCTCTGTGATTGTTTCTCTGATTGTGTCTTAGTGCCTTCCTCCTCAGGTACTTTTACCCTCACTGTCACCAGTCAGTGTTCACACACAGAGCTCTCTGCTTACCCAGCCCTTCCGCTGGAGATGCAGCTCAGCGCCCCCGTCCAGCTCCGAGCTTTTTCACATGCTCTGATCAGTACTCAGATGGGAGTGTTGCCAGACCACCTTGAGCCTCTGAGCTGAGCTTTGTTCGAGCAAGTTCCTAGTCGAGGTGACACTGCTCTGTTTTCTTCCTATCATGAACTTTTTCCCTACAGAGTCCACCTCAAAAGACATTTTGTTCATGGCAACTGCCCCAATGTCCACAGCTATGAATGTCACCCTTCTTACACCACACTGCATTCTGGGGACTGGCATCTTTCTACCTTATATCTAGCTGGTTTTCCCCTACCTCAATTCATAGCAGGTACTTCCTCTGTGTCTACCCTGCTCTGTCCACCAAGGATTCAGTGTAAGTTAGCTGACCAAATGAAAAAGTCACCTATATCTGCAGAGCCTGACAGTGAGCCAGGGTTTTGGCAACCAGGGGCATTGTAGCTACGGGCCTAGCTTGGCCAAGGTAGACATAATTCTCACCTGCCCACCAGTACCCACCAAACACCTTGTAGGTGGGTGAAATGTGGCTTTCTGATGGGCCTTGCAAGGGTAAGTGACCCTGAGGGAAGATGCAGGTATCTGCCTCTCCACAGTGCAGATCACTGGTTAAAGCTGTGGGAGGCCCCCCTGTGCTTGTGTGGCTTGCTTTCCACTGGTACACTTGATGAGGAGGGGGAACAGGTTTCTGTTAGTCAGGCACAGAATGCGTCATTGCTCGATGCATATGAGTCTCCTGGGATTCTCGTGGTAGGCTGGGTGGCAACTCAGGCTGCCATTAAGGGTCCTTTTTAGTTTCAAGGGACTGGAACTTCCCCACTGAGTCCCAGCATCAGTTACAGCCATTGCAGCTGTCAGAGGACAGTTTGAGCCCCTTCCAGGCAATCGGGTGTGTAGCATGCAGACCTTGTCCTCAGAAAAGGACACCAAGGCCCAAGACATGTGGGTTTTAATCAGCTGTCCTGCCCGTCTCCTCATTGAACTCGAAAGCACCCGGTCTGAGTTTAAAAAGCGGTGTTGACACTGGGATCGACAGCCAGTCTCGGCATCACCAGGTGCTCGTGCTGTTTCTGACTGTAGTTACTGTTGCAGGTGACTCAAAGCAAGCCACTTCCTCACTACTGAATCTCTAGTTTCAGTGGAGCTGAAGGATGTGTTCTGGACATGCCTAGCTCCTTTGTCAAACCAGGAAAACAGTGGACCATTAGCTCTAAAAGTTGATATGTAAAGAATTTACAGCTGGTATTGTGTTACCTGCAAAGGAAGTGCTGTTCTGAAACACTTCATAGCAGACCATGAACACAGTGTGGGGTGGAGGGAAGGCTTCCCACCAGCTGTCTAGCTGCCCACATGGCCCGTGCGTGGACTAAGGAGGCTGTTGGCCCAGCTGGGCTCTCCAGCTGTTTGGCAATGTGGGAACAATCTGAGGGCCCTTTGTTAAAGGCAGGCGAGGTGCAGCCAGTTAGAGTGAGCCCCAGGACTCCTGTGCAGATGGTCGGCAGGCTCTTGAGTCCTCGTCTCTTTCTTCAGGCCTCAGTTTCCTACCTTTAGAATAAAAGAGGTAGATGAGCCCTAACGTGTTGTGCCGGGGTGTAGCCCTGCTACACGCAGTGTACTGCAGTCTGTCTTTCTCCTTTGAGTATCAGTGGGGCGCGTTTCCGGCTTCTTGTGCTTCTTCCTATTAAACACCCGTCCTGATGTTTGACACTTTGTAGGATAGACAATATCTAGAGAGCAGATAATCATGAATATGTTTATGCACATGCACACACACACACACACACACACACACACACACACACACACACATCCAGAGGTTATGGGTACTTGTTTAAAAGGCAAAAGAGAACAAATCAGAAAAACAATTCTCCTTGTTTAAAAAGCATGAGACTAGATAGACATTTCTCTGGTGACTCAAAGTACTTCATTTTTTAATAGAATTCTGAGGAATGAAGGGTTGAGGTTAATTAACATTGGCGCCCCCCAAATAAGAAACTTGGCTGTATATAATCAAAGTTGTGTATGCTTATAAATTTTTTCAAATGATTTAGAGCTGGGATCACTGATTTGCCAGGGCAGTGTGGGGCTGAAAGCGTACCAACTTCGCAGGAGAAGCACCATAGCCTGCAGAGTGTGAAGAGGTGATGAGTGCAGCCTGTGCAACTGTCACTGTCACCTGCCCCTTTGGAACCAATTCAAGGGCACCTGTGGTTTTCTGTAGTGTCATTGAGTATTGGCTGGATGTTTTGTAGTCTGCTTTACTTTGACACAATTCCGATTGTATGTTCACAAGTGTGGATGTGGTGTGGCATTTTTAGTGATCAAGTCCTATGTTGTTTCTTAGCTTGGCTATCAAATGTTCTCTTATTAAAAGTAAACGTGAAGAAAAAAACAAACTTGTTGCTTTGAAGCATGCACTGATGAAGAGTCTCAGAAGCTAGAATATCAGAGCTGATGGGACTTTTAAAGATCACCAGATCTCACCTACCTTACTGTTATACTGATGTGGAGCTTCCAGATACCTAGAAATCATTGGCATCCTTGGCTCTAGATACAAAGGATGATCAAAATCTATGGTGAATGCTCACATTCAGTAAGACACATTACCATGAGTCCTCCCCCAGTGCTCCCCTACGTTGAGCACACTTACTGTATCATCCTGGCTACTTTGTGGAACAGCTCTACAAGTTCTCGTTTGTGAATATCTTTATGAGATGAGATAAAAAAAATACAGGAAACACCACTCCTAAGTGTCATCCAGTGGAAAGGGAAACTTGCAAAACTATTAATGTGTCCTCCACCTTCATCACTGGCTCTGGCACATGCAACTTCTGGCTCTTCCCTAAAGTCAAGATGACCACGAAAGGTCAAAGTTTTGACTCACTTGAAGACATGCAGGCAGCCATGAACATATGCAGAAAAGACTTCCAAAACTGTTTCACAATGTGGCAAGGATGATAGCATACGTGTTCAGATGAGGAGGAGGACTTTGAGGGGAGCTAATGCCGTCGTGTTTTGTATTGTCATATTTGCCATTGTTTTGAGTAATGCACTCTTTTACAAATGGTGGGATCACTCCGAGATATGTGGTTGTTCCTGCAGAGCAAACAGCACAAAGTGAGTTGTAGTGCCCCAAGCTAAATCTGTAGGGGTCTGTGGACCCTTGGAAGCATGTGAGTTCACACTTTGGCCCAGAGAGTCACAGACGAGTAGCCTATCAGTTGGCTCTGCAATCCTTGCAGATCTGTTGGTAAAACAAATGGTTGGGTTGAACAAACTGAAAGCTTTGTGTCATGAATGTCCATTCTAAGAAAGGGACATGATTCAAGCAGACATGATTCTAGTTATTAGGTGCCTTTCTTTGATTGAGATTTGCTGCATGAGAATGGTGTCAGTGCTGCACAGCATGCGGGCCTTGCTCCCTTTGCTGTGGAAATCAGGAGAGCTGGCAGTCTTCTCTGCTGGGATCCCTGGGCTTGAGTCCGTTGCTGACATTGGACGAGTCTCTGGGTAGAGAGAAGGGATCTCACGTGTCCTTATTTCGTATTCCATGTGTTCTGCCACATTGCCTTTAGGATTGAAGGTTAGGAGGTGGCAAATGATCTATTTGTCTATGAGTGTCCTTCACCTTCTCAGCCACGAGTGTCTGGTTTTCTGTCCTTTCAACCAGGAGTACACCATCGACCTCATCTTCTATCAGAGTTGGTACGACGAGCGCCTTCGTTACAATAGCACCTTTGACAGCCTTGTTCTGAATGGTGATATGGTGAGCCAGTTGTGGATCCCGGACACCTTCTTCAGGAATTCGAAGAAGGCCGTGGAGCATACGATCACCCTGCCCAACCAGATGGTCCGCATCTACAATGATGGCAGGGTGCTGTACACAATTAGGTACGGCAACTCTCTGGGGTCTCACCTCTTGGGATGTTCCCTCCCTTTCGGGAATCTAGCCAAAGACATTGCCCAGAGACCTTATCCCGAATAGCTTTCCTAAAAGAGGACCTATCTAGTTTTCTTGGACCATGAGTTTAGCCTCTTGTAAACACATACAGACAGACCTCAAAAAATAAAATTCTGTTTAAAGCCACAGACCAGGATTGCGGCAGAGCTAGGACTGCTTCCCAGTTACTTGGCTGCTGGTGTGGTCCAGAGCTCCTTCAACTAGAATGCACCAGTATGACTGCATTGCCTGGACAGCTCCATCCTGAGTGGACAGTGGATGTAAAGGCACGTCCACGTGGTGGAGTTGTCAAGGTGGAGCAGCAACACAGCAGTTGGAACCTAAGAGCAGGGGAAGGTGCTATATTGGGGTGAGGGGCTGGTGGGAGCTGGTAGAGGGTGGGGAGGTATTTGCAGGTCTTAGAAACTGGACTGGGCAAGAAACAAAGACCATCTCAGTTAGTTTGTATAATTTTCTGATGATGGGGCCCAAAGTCGTTAAACACTTTCAAGCTGCACTACTTCTCTTTTTGTCTCTCTTTTGAGCTTTTTGTCTTAAGTTCTGCTGTTGCCATGTGGTGGTGATGGTCCGTAGGTCAAAGCTGGACGGATACCTAAATGCTCAGAGCCAGCCTAATGGGGCTCCTCTCTCCCTTCCAGGATGACCATTGATGCGAGATGTTCACTCCACATGCTCAAATTTCCAATGGATTCTCACTCTTGCCCTCTGTCTTTCTCTAGCTGTGAGTACCTTCTTAGGTTTCAGGGAACCCAGATATATGTGGGGCCCCTTCTTTTTCTCATCTTTGCCTTTTAGTTTTTCCGCTTCTGCTTTTCTCCTAAGCTGGTGCCAAGATCGATCGTGCCAAGCTTCCATCCTCCATCGCCATGCTCAGCTCCTTCCCTGTGCTGCTCCACTTCCTCCTTCTTCCTTGCACCCACCTTAAGTGAGCTGCTGCTTCTGAGCTATAGCTCTAGTGTGTCTGCTTCTCTCCCCTCTGCCGCCACTACCTCGGTGTAGGCCTTTGCCACCTTCCCCCTGGACTCTTGTAACATCTTCGCTTTGAAGTGGAACGCGTCCTAAATGGAATCTGCTGCCTCCTCCCAACCCCTGCTTCCCAGACAAACGTGTTGCTTCTGCGTCCTCATCTGTCTCACTGAAGCCAAGAACCTTGATGCTTCCCTGTGTTCCCAGCCTGCATCTAATGAGCCAACACGTCCTGTTGGTGCTCCCCGCCCAATTCTCTATCTACCCTTCCTCTGTTTCTATTTCTCTGTATTCTGACTGCCTCAGCTTTGACTCCTGCCTTCATCCATTTTATTGTGCTTCGATTGCCACGCTAGCCTCTCATAGCTGGCCAGCTTGCCAACCTGCTGGGCTTGCCTAAGAACCAGAGTGACCCTGCTGATGCATTGTCTAGGCCAGGTCACTTCTTCATTCGCAGTCCTTCTTTACTCTCGCGGATCAATTCCAGATTCCTTAAAATGAGCCTCAAGGCACTTCATGAACTGGCCCCTGCTCCCCTCTCCCACCAATTCATGTCTGTGAGCCTGCCATTCTGAAAGTTTGCCATTTCGGCAGTAAACCAGGCATTTCACCTTTCAGTGCTGCTCCTCGCCCCTTCAACATCATCCACATGGAACTGTTTACTTGACTTTCAAGTCAAGAGGTGTCACCTGCTCTATAAAGTCTTCTCTGAGTGTGTTCTCCAGTGATCTTCCCTTCTCTGTTTCCTCGCTTCTGTATGCATAGAGGTTTCCTAGAGCAACTCCAAAAGTCCCAGCTGTGTGCTACTCATTGTCGTGCTCAGTAAAGCACGGATGCTTGAGGCCGGGCTCATGCCTTGCTCATCTCTGCATTTGCAGCCCAGGGCCTGGTACTGAGGACTGCTCGGTAAATGCACTTACTGAGTGAACCTCCACAACCAGATAACGGAGGCTGAGTCCCACAGCTGGAGAGGCCAGAGTCAGGACTCCAAGGGTTGCTCAGGCTGACTCCATGCTGGAGAGGACATCAGCCGGGCTTCCCAGTCTCATTCGACCCTGCTTTCCTGGTTGCTTTCCAGTTTCCTATCCTGAGAGTGAGATGATCTACAAGTGGGCTGATTTCAACCTTGAAATGAATGAGAAGAACACCTGGAAGCTCTTGCAGTTCGACTTCACTGGCGTGAGCAACAAAACTGAAATTGTCAAGACCCCAGCTGGTAAGTGAGCCATGCGAGTCAGGCCTGGGCAGGGGCGGGGAGGTGGTGGGGATACGCGGAGTTGGCCATCTGTATGGATGCTGTGCAATCACACCATCGGGACAAGGCTCTGATCTTGTAAATGCTAAGCACTTACAACTGTTTGCAGAGGAAACTGAGACTTTGCAACTATGTCTCAGTCTCATCTGCAAAGAAGTAAGTGCTTTGCCAAGCCCCTTGAGAGGATAGGTAAGTAGACAAAGTTTTGTCGCCGTTCGATTTTGCAATGAGCTTTTCATGCAAACCCTCTAGTTTTAAGGTCTTTGTTACAACACTGACCTACATGGATGGCTGGGGAATGGAGTTCATGGGAGATGGCCATCTCCAGAACAAGGCAGTGTTGGTTGGAAGGGAAGTAAGTTCCGTCTTAAGGGGAATGGAGGCTGGAGTTCTAGTGGCAGCTGGGGTACTGACGGAGGTTACCTAAGCTACAGTGGCTGCAACACTGACAGTTATCTTAAAGCCGCAGCTCTGAAAATGCATGCATTGCTGCCCAAGAATTCATGGTGGCTTTAGCATCGACATGGTTGCCACTGGTTTTGTGATCTTACCTCCAACAAGGATGAAAGGGGAGGACCCTGGATCTCTTAACTTTCAGCTCCCAATTAGATGTGAGCTTCTTTGCTTGTGTTTCTAGGTGATCTGAATGAGGAGCCAAGGGACCTTCCCAGGGTTGCTCCCAGAGCATCCCTGGAAACCCTCTTCACATGTACTGACCGAGTTCAGGGCAGTGGAGGCACCGCCCTCGTCGTTTCCAGAATGTGGATACAATGAGTCACCCAGACCACCATTTGTCATGGGAGGCATATTGCTTTGCTTTTGGGTGGTTAGACAGAAATTTGACTTTTGCTTCACTTGCTGAGTTAGTCGCTAGATAAAAGACCACTCATGCTCACCTGGCTGGAGCTTTGCTTGCACAGTACTAAACAGGGGGCAAGGGCTGCTTTCCAAATGCTCTCCTCTTTCCTGGGGCTTCCAGAGAAGCAACTCTACCTTTATCAAGATCATGGCTCTTCTGCCAGCTAACCATGGGCCTGTCTCTTAGCTTTCTGCATCTCAGTTTCTCCAGATAGGTGGACACTCATCATCAAAAGCAGCAGACGAGACAAGGCCCAGGGGCTTTTAAGTCACTAGTGGTTCCGTTTAGTAGATGTTTGTGCATTGTTTCAAAATGGTGCCCTAGTGACTACAAAGCCCCATGGCCAGCATCTTCACCAGATCAATGACAATAGGTAAGCACCAGGTCTTCTTTCTCATGCTGGACACTTGTGGATCCTGAGTCATGGTTTTCCGGGGTCAATGTGATCTTCAGGGTTATTCGCAAACCTTTCCAGTCAGCTCCTCCTCTCTATCTGGAGCTGACCTACATGCCCACATCTTAATGGTTCAAAACGTGGTTCTAGCTTGCTACTCTGCTCACCTTGGGCCTTGAACCAGAAGGCATTTGCTTCCAGAGGTTTCAGGAAGTCTACCTCCACCCTCAGTGAGAGAATCATCCTCTATCGACAGCTTTGGAACTTCCATGGGCTCTCACAGCAGTCAGTTGTTGACTGTCTTGCAGGTGTTTTCTTTCTTCTCTAGACATCTGTGCCCATCAGTAAACTCACTGTACTTATCCAAAAACAGGGCTCTGGAACATCTCCGCGTTGGACCTCCATTTTCCTGGACCTAGGTCGTGTTCCAGTATATTCCCCAGAGCCCTAGTTCATTTTCTTCCCTTGTTCTTCAAAGCCTTGGGTCCACTCATCCTTCTACTTTGAGTCCTCTGGACTTTTTACTTTCTTTCCACTCACAGCACAGTGACCAACCATGATCGGGGCAAAGCAGGTAAGAGTGAGACCAAAAAGCATCGTTAGTATTTTTGTTTTTATTGTTATTTTTGTTTCTGTTTTTTGCTCTGGCTCCTCAGCCCCACATATCTTTGTTTACCCATGTTTTTCCATTCTACAAGAAGAATGTGTGTTAGGATTCTTCTCATGGCTTTCAGAAACAAGTTTTTATCTTTTGATAGGTGGATCTGCTTCTTCTTTGGCCAAGATAAAATTAAAATAGAGAAATCCAATAAAATAATAAACTTTCTTTTGACAAACACATATAAACAGCAGCTTACAGGACCCAGGAGTGGCTATGGCTAATTAGCAGACTCTAAAATGGTAATCAAGACCCTGTGGCAAGAGACTAGGAACTTGATCAACACATCCTGCCGCATCCCTAGAGGCAGTGTGACCCCAAAGCTACTACTTGGGAACCAGATTTCCCACTGATCCCAGGCCACTTCTTTGCCCCTTTTTCCAGAAGAATCTGAGAAGTGTTGCTCTCTGAGTGTCAGTACTGTCGAGGTGAGTAGGCATGGCTACTCTCCTTCACCTCTGGCACACCCAGACCTTGCACGGACAGTTTAGTGTTCTGGTCTGCTTTCCACACCTGTTGCGGACAGCAGCAAGAGTCACCGAGTGTCCACTGGTTTCCAGATTACTCCAGGCTGGGATGGGCCTGAATGAGCCCTGTCTTCAAGAGAAATCAAAGCCCACCTGCTTCAAGGCCAAAGAATTCTGTGGGGTCACTGAAGTGACCGTATGGTACACTTCACAAGTGATCCAGGACTAGAGCTCTTGCAAATACATCGTGAGGTTGCTAGTGAAGGTGGAGGTTCTGTATTACCCTAGACCTAGGTCGTGGGTCTCCACAGCCCTAGTTCATTTTTCTCCCTTGATCTTCAAAGCCTTGGCTCCACTCATCCTTCTAATCCATTTTGACTCAGAGAAAAGCCTAAAGCATTCATGGAGGCAAGATGGCACACTGAGTGTTTGGGCAGATGTATCAAAGCAGAGGCAGCCCAAAGAGCACAGCAGAAGATGACAACTGAAGATGCGAGTGGTCCTCAGGTCCTGTAGGAGCCATTGCTATCTAGGGTGACAGCAAGAGTAGGGACACATGCCCAAAGGAATGTGAAGACTTGTCTCTCTTGTCAGATTTGACACCTAGAGGGTTGACTGAAATATTCATGTTCAGATAAAATTTTCTGTTTTTCTGAAAAATCCATTTGCATTAAGGATGTTAGACTAGGAAAGTGGGGTCCAGGGTTTGAATATTAGTGTAAATATTCAGGCTATCTCAGAGAATCTGAGAACCAATGAGATTAGCTTTGGGTAAGGTTGTGCATATGTGTGTGTGTATGTGTATGTAAGACATCAGTTGGGTCCCGGTCACGGTGGGCCTTTCGTGTCAGAGCTCAGAGTTGATTCTGTAGCTCACTGTGGAGCAGGGAGCCCCTGGAAGCTTAGGAAGAAAAGAGTACTTGTTGGGGCCCCTGCATGGTGCAGCCAGAGCCCATGTGCGCTCTCCAGTCACAGCACGTGCCGCCAGATAACAAGAGGCCTAATTGACTTTTTTACTTGCATTGGACTCTCCTGCCACCCTGAAAAGAGCTCTTGGGGTGGGACAGTGAACTGAAGAGGAAGTGATGAATCTGGCCTCGGCGTAGCTCTTAGCTAGCTTCCCACTGTCCTTCCTCTGGGCTGCTTCCAGGCCTGTGTATCTTGCACTGAAACAATGTGCCTCTGTCCTAGAAGCAGTAGGATTCTTACTTACTTGTATCATCCTGCCATATGTCATACGATTTTTTTTTTTTAATGTTTTCCAGGTGACTTCATGGTTATGACGTTTTTCTTCAATGTGAGTAGGCGGTTTGGCTACATTGCCATTCAAAACTACGTCCCCTCTTCTGTGACTACGATGTTATCCTGGGTTTCCTTTTGGATCCAGAGAGACTCTGCTCCAGCTAGGACCTCTTTAGGTAAGAGGGCAAAGTGGGCACATACACGGACATGCAGGTGACTTGGCTTGATCAGGGCAGGGGCTTATCTTGTTACTGTGTCTTGTAAGCACTGCAGCACGTGGCTCAGGGCTCAGCCCAAGTCTACTCTTTGTTCTTTTAGGGATCACCTCTGTACTCACCATGACTACTTTGGGCACCTTCTCGCGGAAGAACTTCCCACGGGTCTCCTACATCACAGTGTTGGACTTCTACATTGCCATCTGCTTCGTCTTCTGCTTCTGCGCTTTGATGGAATTCGCCGTTCTCAACTTCCTGACCTACAACCGAATGAAGGCCCACGCTTCTCCGAAACTCCGCCATGTAAGAGTTGGGATGGGAGTGGTGGCATGTAGAGGCTTGGTGGCAAGGACAGTGAGGTTATGGCACATGGGTGGCCAGCTACCTGACGGTTGGGGAGTTACCAGGAGTGATGGGGGAAACCAGTTTGATGTGATGGGTGGCCTGCTGGAGTGCCAGGGACAGAGTTTGCAGGAAGCACTAAGTCTGTAGGTGTGGCTGGCCCTTATTTGACTCTTGGTTTTTCTTTCCTTGTTCATTACAGCCTCCCATTAGTGGTGCCCGCGCCCGTGCCCTGGCCCGTGCCCGCGCTCGCCAGCAGGAAGAGGTGTTTGTGTGTGAGATCGTCACTGAAGGAAGTGATGGGGAGGAACACGTGTCTTGCTCTGTCCAGCCACTCCCTAACCCAGAAGACGTCGAGGCCCCCAGTGGAAGGTTCTCTGGATGCTTCAAGCATGTCAGGAAGTATTTCTGCATGGGCCCTGACTGCGATGGCCCTACCTGGAATAAGGGACGCCTTCGCATCCACCTCTTCCGCCTGGATAACTACTCGCGCATTGTTTTCCCAGTGTCCTTCCTCCTCTTCAATGTGATCTACTGGCTTGTTTGCCTTAACCTGTAGGTGCCAGTAGGTACCTTGTGGGGCGGGCTCCCCAGTTCCCCGGGAGGTCCTAAGCCCCTTGCCAAGGGAGTTGGGGGACAACGGCAGCAGCAGGAGCATCTAGAGTGTTTTCCCTCCCCTGTTCCCCAAATACAAGCCTGCAAAGAGTTTGTCTTTGGTGCCCCTCTCCCCACAAGTCCCTTCAGTGAGTCTCCTTAGCACTCCCTTTCAAAGACCCTCACCCACCTCTCTGTTCTTTGAGGGGCGTTCGTGATGCTCAGTGTTCAAGATCGCAGGCTTTTTAAAATCAGCTCCCTGAAACCCTGGCCATCTCAGAGCGGATTAGCTCACTCCCAGCCGTGCTGACAATCACTGCCTTTTTCCAGAAACCCAATACTGCCTTTGTGGTGCTACAGGCCCTGCTCAGGCCTCAGCCTCAAAGTGCATAGACCAGCTATTTTCCTTATTCTGACACCTCCTTAAAGGGCTAGACAAGAATACAGGAGGACCCCATCCCATTTTATTTATTTCCTCTTTCCCTGCCCTCCCTCCCCACACAGATAGACAGGCACTGGAATTCTCTCTTTAGGAGGAAGGGAGCCAGCAAGTGGGTCTTTTGGGACAGTATCCCTCCCTCTGCTGCTGTGACACCTCCTGCTCCCTCCCTGCTTCCATCTGCGCCGATTCAATGCCTTGCATCCAGTGGGAATCTGTCTATTTTGGTGTGTGGTGATAGTTATTACCCCTGCTTTTTATGCCCCTTCTTCCTCTTCCTTGACCCCTGTGACTCTTTCTGTAACTTCCCCAGTGACTTTCCCAGCCCTGTCCAGGTGCTAGGCTTTGGTATTTCCCTGGGACCAAGAAACGAAAGAAACTCTGCTTTGCAGTGGGCATTACCCACCATTATTTGGTGCCCACCTTGGGCACAGTTGGAGTTTGACAGCTTCCTTGGCCCCCGGATCCATGAGCCAGTCCACTATTATCCTCGGGGCGTTCACAATTACACCCAATCAATTGAATTCCCTTAAATTTGTACAGCACTTTACCTCTGGAGAAGGACTTTGGACAAAACGTTTCTATTTGGAGTCTCATTATAGCCCTGTGATGTCCTCAGGGCAGGATTCTTGTCCCCATTAAGCAGATGGGAACCCTGAGGCACAGATTTCTATGGGACTGTAGACCTCACTGGAAGCCATCAGGAGCCCACTGTCATCTTTTCGACCACATGACAGGGCTAGGCAGCTCTGATCACAATTTGATTCTTCTGCTTCTACTGGCACCACAGATTGGCAGGCTCTTCATCACTGACCTGCCCAATTCCTGGGCCTGAGATGCTCAGGCTGCCCCCAAGATGGACCTTCTCCTGGCTCTAGTCACCCAGTGAGACAAATTTGGATCATCGCCCCAATGCTTGTATATGCTAAATGAAATCTGTGTCTGTATTTTAAGGTGGGTGGGTAGGGTGGGGATCCATCTGCTTTCTGTCACCATCATCTGAAAAGGGGAATATATAAATAAAGCAATCAGCAAAGCATTCAAGGTGTGGCTCATTTCTTTGGCGCTCGTGTTTGTTCCTGGTTCAGGTTTTCAGCCTTTTTCTGTTTCCCTGTCACATATATGACTCCCAGACATGCGCGACCTGCCAGCATGCACCAAGGACCCTTCTCTCAGTAATGAGGAAGGGAAAGACAGGATCTGGGTGTGTGGCCCCCTTTCCAGATTTCCTGACTTGCTCTTGTGCCCAGTCCGGGGCTCAGCTTCCTTTGCCCTTCACCCTAGCCCCCACCTTGTCAGGGCACCACTGGGTTCAAACTACCCTCTCCCCCTCCCCAGAAAGAGGTTGATACTGAAGCACAAAAAAAGGGGAGACTGGTCTCCTGTAATAAAACCAGCCGGTAGTGGATTTCCGGAAATCCCAATACCCTCCCTTGCCATGCAGCAAGCCTAGACACCTTGGTTGCTTTACTCAAAAAAGAATGCACGAAGTATAGGCCTTGGGATCCTGTGGCACTTCCAACTCCAACGAAAAGCAATAACAACCACCAAAGAGGGGGCAAAAGTAGTGTTGGGACCACTGACGTCTTTGTCATAAAGTCCTCAAAATGACACTTAAACTTTATTTCCCTATAAGAAACTCACATCTGTACCATGTACTGTGATGCCCTAACCTACAGAAAATTATAAGTGACCATGTTAGAACAAAGGAAATAGTTTCTTGGTTTTACTTCCATGCAAACGATACAGGAGAAAACATGGCAGCCTGAGCCCTGAGCAAAGCAGCTGTGCATGTATGTACATGCGCTCATGTTGCTTTTTTGTTTTTAGACTGTCTCAAAAAGTCATGTTGCATTTTGAAACATAGGAGCAGTACACTGTAACAAAGCTTCAAATACAGAAAATCCGTACTGCTTATAAATCTTGAAAACTTCATATAATCACTGCTTTAAAAATGAGGACATTGAAACCATAGTTGGGTGCATATGTGAAAAATAAAATTAATGGCCTGGGCTTGGTGACGCATGCCTGTAATCCTAACACTCAGAAGATTGAGGCTGGAGATACACAGTGAGTTCAAGGCCAGCCTGGACTGTACGGTGAAACTCTTGTCTGAAAAACAAACAAAAACAAACAAAAGAAAAACACTACACACTAAAGCCAGTGGGTACAGCCTACAGTGTAAGCATTTTAATTACTAAATACAAAGGGGGAGTTAAGCCTCAGAAACTAGAAATTGGAAAAAGAATAAAACTTTGCCCCTTAGAAAAGTTTTGGAGAACAAGCAATCTAATAATTATAAATTATTTATATAATAGTATAGATAATACAATAATAACCAACATCTTTAAAACAATGAACAAACCCAAGTACCTACTTCTTTTCACATCCAAATTACAGATGTATGAAAGATTTGAAAAGGTTTTTTTTTTTTTTTTAAAGAAAACCTGAAAGGTGCTCCCAACAAAATTCAGCTGAATGTGTTTATATTGGGGGGGATGGGAAGTACCCTGCTAAGCATGAGGTAAGACACCAGAAACTACAAAGTTAAACAACGCATCCATGTTGAGAAATGATAATTTAAATAAAAACAAACACTTTAGCAAAACAGTGTTACAGGTCAGTGTTTCTGGGAACACTCTGATGTAGAATAGAATGCGAAATGTGCATTGGGGGGTCCTCTTAGATCAGCACCATTGGGGGAAGTGCTGAGAACAGACTCAGTGGACAATCAGTGAGGCTACACTGCAGAATCACATGGTGATTCCGGAAAGGACTGCATGGTCCGTTCTGGTCACCACTTAGGGCAGAGGGTCAGGGCCTTCGAGCCCCTGCCTGGATGTGAGCATGTATTTGGGGAGACATGAGTGGGGTGTGTCTTAGAGAGCCTGGTTGAGGGTTGTCAGCCTCCAATGGTCTTAGCAGCTAGAGAAGTAAGATCCATGCTAAAAGGGCACTGGTGGGCAAGCATCTCTGTAGTGGTCCCACAGCGACTTCTGTAGTTCACTGCTCACCTTGCTCAGGCTTATGTGCTTCATTTGAATAAATTCCAGACCAATTCTTCCATGATTTATTTCCCTGAGAAAGATTTATAAGACTGGAGAGACAGACCACATACCTCCCACTAGAGCTGGTCTTGAGACTTAACCAATAGTCATCATCTCCATTCTCCAGTACTCACTAAAGGTTTCCACCCACTCTCAGCTAGTATCTCTGCTGGTCTAGCTGGCTTTCCTTGTGAATGGACTGAATCTTCCCTTCTGGAAGCAACTGAGCCCTTGGGCCCTATATGGTCTTCTTAGAGCATGGCTGGCGGATTTGCTCATCATTTTTATGGGATAACTAAGTGGATCACCTTCTCCTAGCCCAGATCTAAGCACAGCATGAGTACTAAGTATTAACAGAGCTGACAAAGGCTGGACTCTTGTAGTTAGGGGTTGTGCAGAAAACAGAATCAGGACATGGATTTTATAATATTATTTTTATAATGGTCACTGGGAGTTAACACAAGAAGATGCAGGAAATTATCCACAACATCAAAGACATAAAATATTTAGTCAAGGGCCTCAGTCCCACAGCAATGTCCCACTTGAGTCCAGGTGAAAACCCAGAGCTCATGACAATGCCTCTCACGAGTCCATCTGGAGGTCCAAAGCCCACAAGAAGTACTCATGCCAGTCTCTTTTACGGATCCATGCCAGGAAGGCCCAAAGGTCAGCAGTGGAAGCCAGAAATTTCATGCCAGTGGGGTGAAGGAGCTGTGCTGGTGGGATGAGGGTTCTATGTTGGAGGCAAGAAGCCACACTCACAACAAAGACCAAGGGCTGTCCTGAAAGGCACCACAGCCATCCTTAGCAACACGGAGGCCCCAAGCTCCTCTGACAAGCACAGTCAGGTACATGCCAGGAAGCCAGTGCGATGAGTTCATCCTGGAGACCAAGCAGCACATGTCTTCCCCTCCGGAGCCAGGAAGCAATGCTTGATGTGAGGACCAGAGCTTCTCCAGAACTAACAGCTCAAACAGCAACTCATAGGAGAACCCACCTTGTTGTAGGAGAATGCAACAATGCATTAGCAACTCAACACTCTTCTCCTTCTCCACCTATTTATGCTGGCAACTTTCCTCAGGTGGAGCATCTTTGCTCAGTGTCATGCTGATGTAATCCAGCTGATGTTAAGTTGACCACCAGTTCTTAATCCATAAAAACTCTCTCAACAAGCAATCTGCAACAGAGCCCTCACAGGCCTGGCTGAGACTTCGCAGCCAGATGCACTCTGTAGGCTGAGAGTCTTCCTCCCACTCCTCCTCACCTCCCCGTCAGGTGTCAGATCTCCTCCTGCACCAAATTTCATTCACTTGCTCCTGCTCCTTGCTTGTTTCTCTTTCAAAGTCATTTCCCCCAATAAATCTCTTGCTCTTCTAATCTCATCTTGGCACCTGATTCTCAGATGACCTAACTGACACCGCAGACACCAAGAGTAGTAACTAGAAAGCATGTAGTACATGTGGCTTCTAAAACCGAATGACTCACTGGAAAGGAACAAGTGTGGTTTGTAAGGTGCAGACCTTTCCTGACACACTTTGACTGGGACCAAATCCTAAAGAGTCCATGGTTACCGCCTGGACAAAACATCCCCAGTGAAGGAAATCCTGTTGTTGAGTCAGGCATTTGGAGGCTGTGGGGAGAACACTGTTTACAAAGAGAGTAGAGCTGGCCAGCTGTTATTGATTTGTACTTATCTCCTGGAGTGAGTTAAAGAGAAACTGAGGACCATCAACAGCAGTTAAAGGTTTGTGGGAGAGTTAAAGGGCCTTTTTGGAAACTTGCAAAGAGGACTTTATCTCCCCCAGTGGAAGAGCAGCTGTAGATGAAAAGCAAAAATGTTCGACTTTCAAATTTCTAGAGATGAGCAGAATATTTTGCCAGGACTTTTTAGGTTAAAATAGTGGGTTTGCTTGGGAAAACCAGGGACTCTCAAGCACTGAATGGAATAATCTGGAAGGGTTCTATCAAGGGTTGAGCCTTGGTGACCTCTCTAGAACTTCAGAGCCGGCAGAAGTGTCTCCTCTCCTACTAAAAGTGAGCATTTGGGCAGTACTGGAAGATTCTTGAAAGACATTCATCAAGGGAGCCAGTGTTCTCTTTGGAAGCTACCAATCTTCCAGTCCTGGAAGCTAAGCCAATAACTACAGTTAAACCCAGGCATACCTAGGAAAGTCCTAGGTCTGATGAAAGAGGAAAAATGTTACACCCTGGACAAGTTACAAAATTAACTGGCATATTGCAGAAGTCAGTGGGATACTGAGACTCGGTTTTGAGGATGCGCTATTAAAAGGGTGGGAACATTAAATTTAGAACCAGAAATTCCTGGACATGGGGACAATTTCTCAAAACATGAGACTTAATCCTTGCAAGAAGCCTACACCAAGTGATTCCTTGAATCCTAGAGAAAGTGATGAACAACACTGAATGAAGTAGGAACACTTGAGTTGCACTGGCAGATGCTAAAGGCAAGGATTCAAAGGCTGAGGGAAATGGGCCCTTTACAAAGGAGAGGTTAGTTCTATCCAGTAGATGAGTTCAGAGACTCACACACAGAGAGTTAGTCTCCAAAGTGGACCCATAGTACATGCAATTCTCCAAGGCCATGTGGAACACATTGGTTAGAGAGTCATCGGCATCACTGTAAAGCTCAGTAGTGGTTCTCTGCAAGACAGTGCCAAGCGAAGCAGAGGTGTATATTGAATAACAAAAATACCATAGATTGAGGGGCTTAGAAACAACAAATTTATTTCCTACAATTGTGAAAAACAGAACGTCAACGGTCAAGTCAGTATCTGGAGAGGGCTTGCTTCTGGTTCGTAGATGTCACGCTTCTACATTTTCAGACAGCTAAACGGCCAAAGGAGCTCTCCAAAGGCTCTTCCGTAAGGTCCCCAATACCATTCATGAGGCCTCCAATCTTAGGATGCAATCACTTTCCAAAGGCCTCACCTCCTAATAGCATCACACAGAAACTTGGGGTCATAAATGTTTAGTCTATAGCACATGGTTACTAGAAATGAGTGATCGTGTCCCCAAAGCAATTAAGATCAAGTAGCAGTGCTTAATCACCAGAAGATAATGTCTGAGATTATCTTAACAAAATTTGAAGGTCAACCAGTGG